CATCATCGGATGGAAGATCTTCCTCTCTGTATATCTGACTTTCTAATAAAAGTAAATAAATCTTAAAAAATATATGTATCCATGTCAGAGGAATATCATAAAACAGAGCCCGGCAAACCCTGCCCTGCACGTGATACCAGGTCCGCAGCCTGCTCTGGTGCAGCTCAGAGACAAAGCTTGGCTTTTGCATTAGATTTGGAGGGGGGAGGGAGGTACTGACGATTCCCAGTTCATCCCGCTCGCTGAGTTCCATACAAAATCCATATTCCTGTGCCCACTTCACTTGAACCCAACCACACTTGGCTGTGTCCACCCTGCCATGGCTGGTCCGTCCTGCGTGGTGGAGGCGGCCATGGACCACACTGTCCGCAGGGTTCCTGAACACAGCCCTGGGCTTCTGCATCCACTTTCAGCGAACTGCTATGGTTGGGAAAGAAGCCCTAGTGAGCTTCCTGCACTGGCACCCCTGGCCTGGAGCAACTCTGGGTTGCCTGGGCTCCCACAGCCCTCAGCTCCCTATTCCGATCAGCTGGCACCTTGAGCACACGGTCTGGATTGCTCGAGTTAACATGCTCCTGTTACAGCAGCCGAATCCAGGACACGCTGAGGAGGTACTCCTCTGCTCCGTGGGGTGACCACATGGGGACGGCTGCGTGGCCCTACAAACACCACAACCGGCACTTGGAAATAAACACAGCAATCAAGGGTAGGAACTGACCAGCCGTGGGCTGAACCTAATCATGGGCAGCGCATAGCTGATTATTTACTCGTGATCGCGGACTTATTTGCAACCTTGAGAAACGCCTCCGCTTGCAGCAGGTGGTGCCCCTCTCCTCACCTTCCCGGCATCCTTACGGAGAGGGGGGCCTGGCCGGGTGTAGTGGTGCAGGGCCCCAGCGCCGGATTCACCAACTTCTCAGAGCTGCACCCCGTGGACAAGCAGCCAGATCTGCATTCCACGGACTTTGGAAAACAACTGCTCTCGCATGAATTACACGTGGAGAAATGGACAAAACTAGTTGCCACAGCCCTACATTTGGTACTTTGAGACCAACTACGCTTTCTCTGGACCCAGCAGGTGCCTGGCACAACCTCCCAAATGCAGCCTGGCAAAAGGCCACTCGCAGCACCACTACAGGCTGAGCATCCTTTATCCTCATTCTTGGGACTGATTCAGAGGATTTGGGATGTGAGGATTTGTGTGTAATGACACATAATAATATGTCTTAAGGATGGGCCCCAAGTGTGATTCAAGTCCAAATACAAAATTCATTCTGAGTTTTCACATGTGCTTATTCATATAGCCTAAAGGTAATCTTATACGTTAAATAATTTTACACACAAAGCAATTTTCAACTAGTGGCATCATACTGGTGCTCAAAAAGTCATTTTAGAGCAATGTTAGGTTTCAGATGTTCAAATTAGAGATCCTCAACTTATGTTTAAAAAAGAACAGTGACAGCACAGCCATGCGCAGAACATGATCCAGCAAGGCCAACAGGTGCAAGCTGCCTATGCCCCTCAAAGACGAACGCACACAGAACACACAGCTGGTGCACAGGATGCACATGTTACTCAGCATTTAGAAAGGGCAGCAGCTGCGTCATGCCCTACAACACAGATGAACATTGAGCAAATCACGCTGAAACACAATGGCACCGCCTTCCATGGAGGGGCGAGTCTGAAGTAGGCAAATTCTTAGAAAGTAGAAGAGTGGCTGCCAGAGGCAGTGGGAGTGGGGCGGGGTGCTGCTGTCCAGAGGGTGGAGGGTTTTTGTTTCACCAGATGAAAAAGCTCGATGGATCCACTGGACAATGTGTGAATACAGCTCATGCGACCATGCTGGGCACCTAAACACTGTTGAAGCAGCACATGTCATGCTGGTTTTGCCAACTTAAAAAGTAACAATGGCAAATGATAAAGATGAAGGGCATTGGAAGAAGACCCTCCCCCACCTTGTACATAAAGAGCTCAAACTTTTTTGCACCTAAATTAATTTATTCTTTAGTTTCAGAATTGATGCCTTCTGAACGCTTTCCGGGGTCCCAGACATGGGGTTACACCTGCGCAAGTATCTACAGGGGTCCTTTGAAGAGTTCCCGGAGAATAGAATTATTAGGTAAATTAATCTTGGTGCTAACATTTTGAAATACATAGTTGTTGAAACCATGGTTTTTCCATGAGCTTTCTCTGCTTCCAAATAAAAACTATTTGAAAGGCTGAGTTGCGCAGAGAGGATGAAACCATGCATGAGGGGTCAAGAGCAACAGAGATTTTCAGTGCCAAATGGCCACAACAGCCAAGGCTGGGCCACACTAATGCCTGGGCCCGGAACCTCCCCTCTGAGGGCCATCTGAGCCTCCCACAGGGGTGCAGGGGCCCAAGTATCTGGGTCGTCCTTTGCTGCTTTCCCAGACACTAGCAGGGAGCTGAATGAGAAGTGAAGCAGACAGCACATTCAAATGGGATGCTGGTATGGCAAGCAGTGGTTTAACTGCTTAAATATACAGATTTCAAAACAATTTTGCATCACAACAAATTGATCATTTTCATCCCCCACAATTTTGTGAAGTATCCTCATATTAACATAATTGGTCCTTTAAAAAAAGAACCCCCAAATGGGCACCATTGTTCCCATTTTGCACATGGGATAATTGAGGCTTGGTAAGGTAAAGCTGTGTGCCCTGACTGGCTGATGTGAAACAGCTGGTGGTGTAGGGCCCTGGCTCTGGCTACAGTCCACCACTGGCAAAAAGGACAACACTGCCCAGAAGCATCCCAGCCAGGGTGTCCCCTTAGCTCCCCAACCGGCCCTGCTCCCAGCCATAGATCACGCGCATACTAGTGGTTGCTCTGACTCAGCTTAGCTCAGCCTCTCCTCACCTGTCCAGACCTCTGCCTTAGACACTGTGGCTTAGCATCCTTGGCTCACACAGACCAGTAGGCACAAGAGCCTAGCTCGGCATGACCTGTGCTCCATCCTGGTTTCTAGCTTCGCTTGTGGGCTAAGGTTTGCTCAGTCCTACCTGATCTACCCTGTTCCATTACCAATTCACACATTAGCCAGCTGTTGGAGCTACTTTGTCTAGCTTGTCCGACCCCCAGGTCTGGACCACATGTTCACCAGCGGGAACTATGACTCACCAGGGGAGTTTCCCAAGTTCCTCCACTTGATCCATTCCCAGACCCAGTTCTCATACATGCCACTGGGTTTTAGTCTAGTGCTTGGTGTAGTCTGGCCTTCCATTTGGCCTTGTATGAGCTGGTATACGTTGCAGCCCGGCCCACCCCACACCCTATTCAGCAAAACATCCTATTCTTAAAATTCAGGAGACGGTCTCTAAGGTTGGAATTCTGTGAGTGAGGGTACAATATACCCTAATCCATGGAGGGAGGGTCACACTCACTCTAACTCCACAGGACCTAGAACATTCCAGCACATGGTAAATAAAGATTCAGGTGAAAGACTGCAAATTGTTATTAATTGTGCACTTTGTCACTGGTATTAAATGCAGCAAATATCTATTTCTTTAAGTTATCAGGAGGGGCCCAGCGAGGTGGACTAACGGTTAAAGTCCTTGCCTTACATGCACAGGGATCCAGTACAGGGACTGGTTTTTATCCCAGCTGCCCCACTTCCCTTCCAGTTCCCTGTTCGTGGCCTGGGAAAGCAGTAGAGGATGGCTTAAGGCCTTGGACCCTGGACCCACATGGGAGACCTGGAAACCCCTAGTTCCTGGCTTTGGATTGGCTCAACTTCGGTCACCGTGGGCACTTGGGGATGAAAGATTTTTCTGTCTCTCCTTTGTGTAAATCTGTCTAAAACCAATCAATCAATCTTTCAGTCATCAAGAGTGGCGTTTTCTTCACTTTGTAGCTCAGCACAGCCTTAACCATACTGCAAAGGAAATCATGAAAATTAGGCCTGACAGCAACTTGGAAAAAATCCAGCCCCGGAGGTACCCCAGAAGACCAACAGGTTTCTAAATCCCAGCTAAAGAGAAGCACTCATCGTGAATAGAGATGGCTGAACCTGGGATCCAAAGAGCGTGGTTCAAATCCTAGCTGAGCCATTTGCGGATTGGTAAAGCCATACCAGAAATGGTGTTCAGAATCTGACTACACGCCATCCTTCACTGCTCAGTGCAAATACCACCACTGGCTTGCTGGGTCTTCTAAGCCAGCAATCAGATCAAAACCTTTCCCCTGTCCCAGCAGCAAACGCTTGAGCTACTGGGCTACCTCTTGTCACTTTAGTTCACATGTCATGATTGGGGACCCAGGCGTGGAAGAAATGACTCAAGTTGTAGAAGTGGGTTTGTGCTCTATCAGAAACCCTCCCTGAGAATCAGTGAGGCAGGGACTTCCTCTACAGACCTGAAACTGACAATTCTTGGAGGGAGGAAGCAGATGGGAACACACAACTGGTCCTTTCATGGGCATCAAACAGACCACAGAGCGGGTCACGAGGCTGTACTTGGGGGCAGCTCGGGGGAAGGACCCCTCTGTCCTCCAGCTCTGGACCTGCCCCTTTCCAATACCCACCCCCAGCCCGGACCAGTGTCTTCAAAGCAGTGTTCTAGGCCCAGCTCAGAGCTCCAGGGGAGTGAGACAGTCTTACTCTTGACTCTTCACGGGCCCCAGGGCAAACACCTGCTGGCATCTATTTTAAACTTAACCAATTCTTTTTCATTTTATTTGGAAGAGGGAGGAACAGGCAGAGTACGTGCCCAACTCCTATTTCATGCCCCAAATGCCCACAATAGCTGAGACTGGGCCAGGTCGGAGCCCAAAACTCCCTCCAGAATCCAAGCACTTGAGTCAGCGCTTGCTGCCTTCCAGGCTGCACGTTAGTGGGGTTGAACTGACAGACCATGGGCACCAATCATTCCTCCTAGAAAAACTATCAATGAGGTCATCTCGAGTGGAAAAGCACCAATTACTCTGTTGTCCACATGAACAGACGGTAAAAGGGCAGTGTACGATGCAGTATCTCCTACCGTGATTTTCTTGTGATCAGGAAACTCCAGGCCAAAATAGTCGCCTTCCACGAGGTTGAGGTGATTGCAGACTGCATCCAACAGCACTTTCCCCGGAGCCCTTTGCTGCAAACACAAACGACAAAGTTACACCCTCTGGAACGCACCCTGGCCCCTTTGCCTCGGGTTCTGCAGCGCTTGCTGAGCGGCTGCAGCCAGGCCACCGAGAGCACCTGCCTGCCCACCCCGCGGTGGCCTCTGCTGTCATCCCAAACACGAGGGTTTCTGCCAGCTTCTCCCCATCCCTGTGGAAGTGACCGACTTTATGGCTCTCCCCTTCTAGGGTGTCATCTCACAGGAACCACGCAGAGTGGAGCTGTTTCCAACGGGCCCATCTGTCTGCGTGCCATGTTCCTGTCTCATTCTGGGGGAAGGAGGTGCCTTCCCAGTGCATGCCTTCCACTGCTGGATAACAGGGCCCTCCCTGCCTGTGTGTGCCAGGCTGCTTATCCACTAACCAACGGAGGGATAGCATGGGATAGCTTCCAGTTAGGGTAAGCATGAACAAAAGCTGCGTTCCTGTGTGCTGTGGACATGCTCTTTTTGCCCCCAACCCCTGGCCTTTTCTGTGCCAGGTGAAACCCTGCCCGCTACGCCTCCCACTGACAGCTTTCTTCTCGCAGTTCTTGCAACATCCGGTGTGGAATCTCTTCTCGACCACGCCCGTCCTGAGGTGCGGGGGGGAGAGGCACTTTGTGGCTGATCCCTGCATCCCCAGCCCTAGAGTTGAGCCAGTGTTGCTGATGTGAACAAGTTAAGGAAAGCCACTTGTTCTGCTGTATTTGATAGAGCTGATCACCCATGGCTGTTGTCTCTCATAAAGTTTTGGCCCATTTAGTCATGTGTACACTTCTTGTGCCTGGCAAAGCACTGGGCACTGAATCAGAGTTTGCAGGAATCAAGCATTTCCATTTGTTTTCTATGCACTCAATGTTTAAGGGAAAGAACTATCATATCTTAGAATCTAACACATTCATAAACAGCCTCGGTCTCTCCACTTGCTGGCTGGCTAATGACATTAGAGTAAAATGACTCCACCTTTTAGATCAAACATCTCAAGAAAACGTTTCAAAGTCATGGTCAATTTCAGTTACAGCATCTCTACTTGGACCTCCTCTCTGAGAAGTAGGGGGAGCCTGCTGGTGACCCAGGAGACAGCTGCCAGTGACGCTGGCAGGTGATGAAGCTCCGTGATGAACAGCCACATCCCAGCCTGTCCCAGTGCAGCCAGTGACCCCACAGCAGCTTGTGTGTGACAAGGCAGTACCTTTTCTTCCTCTCTCACAGCTGCCCCGGTGTCCTCTCACACTCGCTCTTAAGTCAGGGTGCTCACGAAGCACCAGATGGGAGCATATTCTCCACGCAGCACGTCAGGCTCATCTGGCCCTCGAACGCCTGGTTCAAGGCTCATGCAGACACATTGCACTTGAAATGATGGCGGTGACTGGGCGGGAAGTCCCTCTCCCCACCCACTGCCCTTGCTCCTGCTTGAGCACCTAGCAGTGCAGCATGGATGGCTGCTCAGCCTTTCCTTGGAGCCATTTTTCCTGTTTCCAACAGACAATGAGCTGATCCTTACTAGGCCCCGGTCCTAGAGGGTTCCAAGTTTCCCTCTAGTCTGCAAAGAATTACACATTTAATGGGTGCCCAGCTACCTATTGTGGGGCTTTCCGTAAAGACTTTAGGAATGCACAGTAATATTCTAGAAAGGGGTCAACAGCTTACAAGTTGTGGCAGAATTTGCATAGCACAGAATTTGAGTGGAGGGGGGAAAAGGTCAGACCTCATTCTAGTCTCACAAGCCTTTGCTCTCACAACTCGACATGGCCTGTTTGTGACAAACAGGAACCACCCAGTATCTGACCAGCTGGCAGGCAGTTGGGTTTCCCAAAGAATTCCTGGAACTAAGGGGCTCTGATAACTTCATCTCGGTTTACGAAGCCCGGGAAAAGAGACTCCACAGCTCACCCTGGAAAGCTAAACAAGTAGAACACCCCCAACGGACAATGGGTTTCTTTATGGACCGGGTTTTAAACCAATGTAGGAGCGGAGAGGGAGGGTTGACAGCGAGCCCAGGGCCCTGAGTGACAGAGCTGAGTCTTGGAGAACCTACTCCCGCGTGTCTCTTGGCTACAGAATGAAGGCGGGCCAGAGCCCACGCCTCACTTGTATGCCAACGCTGCCACACCTTGCTGGGGACAGGCTCAGTAGCCAACTTGCCTGGTGAACAAGCAGAGATGACTACACTCAAAAATAAGATTTCCTGGAAAACCTATTTGTTAATACAAACGTTTACAGAAAGTGACTTTGGCGGCTTGGAGAAAATTTACAGGGCAATGCCAGCTTAGCATTGAGTGGTGGCTTTGTGGCATCTCAAAGCACTGGTAAAATAGAGACCCGCCAGTCTACAGACTCTCCTGTGGATACTGCCCACATTCAGGGATGTGAGGAGATCCAGGAACTGCATCACTAGCAGGTATTCATAAGGACTTAAAAGCACTCGTTCTATGACAGTTTCATGGGTAGATGTCACCGTAATGGGCTCTGCAGACTTGCTGTCCCCAGCAGCCAGGGTTTAAAATGCCTACAGCTGGTATGGAAGCAATCCCGTTTCTTTTAGGTAATGGAGCAGAGCCACCCGCACGTCACACGTATGCAGGGCTAAGTGCTGCTTCACAGACAGCGTCACAGGCAGTCAGGGCATGACAGAGTTCCCAGCTGCCCCTTTAAGAGGAATTCTCTCCTCCCTCCTCTGCAACATCTCTAACAAAGTTTGTGAGTTTTCCTCCTTAAGTAATTCTGCTCAAAATCACAGCACAACCTATAAAATGGGGCAGCCACTGCAGAAGAATGCATGGTGGGTCTTTGCTGGGGTCCGTGTAGTAGATGTGGGGGACATGACGGGGGTGAAGAGTGTTCCATTGCAGGCAGGGCCGCGAGGAACTTCCCGCTGACCGGCAGGGCCCATCCAGCGGATATCTCTACAACCACCTGAATGCAACTCCACCTTCTTTTGCATGGACACTGGACCGCCCTGCGGAAGAATTCTAATCCATCCTGACATTTGCTACTGCGAGGTTAACCTTTTGCTCAGCCTGAACTTGGAGGTCAATGTCTTGCAAATGGGGCCTTTTGTCATTCCTATTATCTTAACTGTCCCCATTGAACCTATGCTAATCTAGGGACCTGTATTTAGGCTTTCATTCTTTCCTTGACCTTTAAGTTCTCCTTTTCTTTGTGATACAAGATTGAGTTGTAGGATAAGAATCCTAGCAGGAACTTCTATTGTTTCTAAGTAAAACTAATGGCAGAATTATCCTTAGAAATATCCATTTGTTCATGACGTAAAAAGTCTGAGCCAGAATTTGACTGATTTTGTATAAATAAAGCGGACAGCTTTCCCGCATTGTCCATTATGATCATGAAGTCCTAGTGGTCCGTCTCTTTCTTTCCTCTTTGCGCCTCATCCACGCACCCTTCGCGAGTTCCGAACTCAGCTGGAGCTGGACTCCGGCAAGTGGCGCCCAACGTGGGGCTCGACGAAGGTAAGTCTTTTCTTTCTCTTTTCGGCGTGGATAGGACTTCACCCAGGGTGCTGCAGGCCCCCTGACAAAAGGTCAGGTTAGGAGGGGTGAATAGTCAGAACGTTTCTTGAGAAGTTTTGTACCCTCTGTTACTATAGAGTTAAAATGGGACAGAGCGCATCCAGCGACAGAAGCCTGTACGCTGATATTATTAAGCATATTTTACAAAAGAAAGGAGTAAAGGTTAGCAAAAAGCAGCTTTCAGAATTCTTACGGTTTATACGGACAATTAGTCCCTGGTTCCCAGAGGAAGGAACTCTGGATTTACGAACATGGGATCAGGTAGGGAATGACATGAAGAGGTGGTTTCAGAACCATGGGGCGGCTGCCATGCCTCCCTCAGCGCATGGTCTCTGGACGATAGTGAGACAAGCTTTAGATACGGGGACAGATGCGTATGCCCCATCTTCCCCGACTGCTCCACCCCAGGAGCATACTCCTTTGATTAGACGGAAAAAGGAAGGATCAGGCTCTATTTATGGCTCAGCAGAAAGTGTTCGTCCTGAAGATAATATAAAGTATCATAAAAATGATCAGGAGAATTTAACAAAAGAGAAAGAAGATCTTTTAAAATCAGAAAGATCTAGATCAGGAGTTAAGGATTGTGAAAAAGTGCAGACAGCTGAATTACATGATGGGTGGTCTCCTGCTGTTGATGACAAGCCTCCTAATTATTCGGTTAAACAGAGTGAGCCCCTTCCAGCTAGACCAGACCCAGCAAAGGTTGGCTTTAAAGGGGCAATGCAACAGGCACATAAAGAGGGTGATTTTTTCTGTTTTCCTGTTGTTTATGAGTGGGATGAACCTGAATGGGAACCGTTGCCTTATAAGCTTATTAAAGAACTTAAGCATGCTGTCTCTGACTACGGGCCAAACTCCCCGTACACTATGGCAATGGTGGAGGGACTAGCAGCAAAGTGGATGACTCCTTATGATTGGTTTCAAGTTGCCAAGGCTTGTCTCACAGGAGGAAACTTCCTTTTGTGGAAAATGGAATATGAGGAATTAGCTAAAACAGAAATAAAGTCTCAGGGATCTGTGAAGCGTGGCAAACCTTTAACCTTAGACATGCTTTTAGGACAGGGAACTCATCTTGGTGTTTCAGAACAACTTACTCTGCCTAAGGAGACATTACAGCTTATCTCCTCCCTGGCAATAGGAGCATGGAGACGCCTGCCATCTCCAGATCAAAAGTCTTCAAATTTTGTAAATGTTAAGCAGAAGCCTGAGGAGCCTTTTGAGGAGTTTGTAGCTAGACTCACCGAGGCCGTGAGCCGGACGGTAATTAACAATACAGCTACAGATCTCATAGTTAAACAGCTAGCTTTTGAAAATGCTACTCCAACTTGCCAGACCTTAATTCAGCCAGTGAGAAGGACAGGAGATTTGTCAGACTATGTTCGAGCTTGTGCTGAGGTAACTCCATCTTACATACAAGGGTTAACTATTGCTGCAGCTCTTCAAGGTCAAACTGCCACTCAG